GAACCGCTTGAAACATCTCAGCTTTAGCTATGAAAGATCTCAGCATTGCTCCTCAGGTCAGTTGCCCAGTTGTTCTTTCAAAATTACCCATGTTGGTATTTGAGTGATTTTAATTCTCACAGGAGTCTGTTGTGAGTGATAATGAATTTCTAAGGAAACTTTTTGGTGAAATAGCTGCTATTTGCCTTCCCAGGTACCCTTCTGGAAAATGAGCATGTGAGATGTATCTCCATGCATTTAACCAGAGTCTGGTTATCACTTTTTTGAAAAACCTTCTAAAGAGAATTTGGTGATACTATCCAAGTATTAATTATGTATTCTTGCAAGATCTGGGAAGATACAGAGATGCTGGCTAGCTGTGGTGGTGACTGTGTCTGGGGTCAGCCTTTCTCCCTCTGAGGGGAAGGCACAGTGGCGGGGCTGGAGCTCCTGCTGGGTCTATGAAGCATTTGCTCTGGGATAACTAAGGGAGGACGTCTGTCTTGCAGGACCTGCAGGTTTCATTATCATCAGTTTGACTTTTTACACCAAGAAAAAAAAAATCTGAGACGCTAAGGGCACTGCTAACAGCACTGACCACGTACTTCTAATGATCTAAATGTCATCCACTGGATAATCACGAGGCTGGCTTGCTCCTTCTTCCAAGATCTGGGCCTCCTGCATGCAGGTCCCATGGCTTTCTTGCAATGGGCAGGACACTTGCTCAGAGCCAAAGCATCTGTTTGCACTTTCTCTCTCCACATATTTGAAGCCTTGACCCCTGGTCCTTTGCAGCTGTTACAAAGGAAGAGCCTGAGGGACAAGAGACAAATCCCCTGGCTCACTGACCCATCCATTCTCTCATAAAAGCCTCCTGCATGTGTGAAATAAATGAAATTACATCACAGAGAAAGAAAAGGTCAAAACACAGCTAAGAGCTAAGCAGGTATCTGTGGATTATAACTGCTGGCATGCTTATTCTCTGACAGAAGATATCCTACCCTCCAGAAATTGGGGCTCTTTAGGATATGGAGCAACAGATGCCAGCTACGCACAAGGTTGAGACCTCAGATGTTGCCTGTGTGTCTTCCAAATTACTTAGCTAATGCAGTGTAAGATCAGTTCACCAGAAGCACTGAGGGTCACTGAAGCTATGGATGTTCCTACTGCAAAGCATGGGGGTTAAAGAGCAGGATCAGAGATTCTCAGAGTCAAAATAGTGACAGACTTGTGTAGCAGAGGCAGGAGAAGCCAAAGGCAGGATACTTCCCATTTACCCGTCCCAGCTGGCCTTGCAGTTTATTAGCAAAGTAAAGTAAAGTGCATAACCAGGTCTGTACAGTGGCCTGAAGGGAGAGCTATCAGGAACACCCCAAAAGCGTGGGGAGAGGCCACAGCTGGCTGCACTGTTTATGCTACTCTTCAGTACTATGTCTCAGCGGTACGGTCTGACCTTTACCTCTCTCACCTCAGTGAGGATACTAGAAAATCTGTTTTCTTAGACAAGTTGTAGTGTTGGGTGACAGAAGTGGAGCGTTGAGTGTGCTGCTGATGTTTCAGTCAATGTCTCTACCAGGATATGAGTGATGTTTTTAAATTCCACTGGGAGTAGGCTCTTTCTCCCTCTCTGGACAGTGGGGAGAGCAGAAGGGAGGAGAACACTTAGGCTGGGTCTTTGGTGGGAGCAGACAGACAGATGTCCCACCAAAGTGTGAAGGACTGAGGTAGCAATTAGTTGCATCCTACAGAGCTGAAGAGAAGCCATTGTGCCTCAGCTCCAGGGATAATCCTACATCAGTGGTAGGATGATAGTGTAACACAGGGGAATCCCTTCCGGATACCAGGTGGAGGATCTAACCCACTTGGCTATGGGAATTAATTTGTACGGAGCCCTTGTCTTGCAGGAGATGTTATCTCTGGCAGGGATGAGCAAACATAGTCTCCCATTGTTTGCCAACCCTCTGTGAGATGTAAGGTGTAGAGATACAGGTAGTCTTGCCCCCTTCTTCTGGATGAAGAATCTATGATCAGGGACAGGTTATCAGGGTCTCCACTGAGATTTGAACAAAGTCTAGGTCAGAACTGCCTTCTCTTGGTTTAAACAGCAAATGAGACCAAGTGAGGGGGAGGCTCTTGCATGGTTGTGTTGACTGATAAAAAGGGAGGGGAGGAGGAGGTGCTGGGAAATACAATACACTTCTCAGGCTGCGGAAGAGTCTGTTTGTCCCCAAGAAGTACAGGGTGGAAGAAGCTATAGGAGAACAACATTTCAGCAGCAGCATTTCTTCAAGTCTCTTAATGATGGTATGAAGACAAAGAAGACAACTCTGGGTTGTTTCATGATTGCATCCTGTACAACATGGAGGAAGGCAGGATGTATCTGTGTGGCTCAGCCTGTTCTTCAGGGACATCCTTGTTTGGAGGCTTCAGGCTATCTCAGGACAGCTCAACAGTAGCCACAACCATTATCCCTGCCCCCAGAGACCTTTCAAAAACAATGGCGTTTTGTTGATTGCTCCAAAGTGCTTAGAGGTAGCTGGGGCATTTGATACTCAAATCCCGAAACTTTGCTGGTAGGACTGGTTTAAGGAACGAAACCCACACCAAATATGTGGCCTAACTCACCACACCAGTGCACTGGATGTTAACCCCCAGTGAAATCTCACCCTCAAACATCAAGAACGGGGAAAAGAGATTGTGCTGAATCATGGGCTAGATGTTGTCCTTTGCACCAGGAGATGTTTTAGCCTGGCAGTCGGGAAGTTTCATGCACAGAGACACTTCATGGCCATCAGTGGACCTTTGTTGCTAATGGATGAAGTACCTGGTCTGTTGTGAGCAGTTAAAAATCCTGTAGCTGCACAGGAAGGAGGCAGCCCATTCACTGCTTTGGAGCTACTGCACTCTAGGCCAAATGACACCTTTTGCAGGGAGGGGGAAATTGTTTTTCCTTTGCGATCAGCTCAGCACATGTAACAGGGAAAAGATGTTTCAGCAGTGCCTAGAGCCCAAGTCTGCTGGATTCTGCTAGGTGTTGCACAAACAGAGCAAACAGTTTGCTCCTGGTGTTAAGAGAGACTAGGACGTGTGTGTGAAGCTTACTAGAAAGGATGCAGCAGTGCTTGTAACTTTCTCAAGGCTTTTAAATCAGCCTTTGGAATATAAACCTTTGTAACTTGAGTGTTTTAGCTTAAGGCCAGCAAAAAAAGATGTTAAGGAAAGAAAAAGTCGAAGGAAAGGACCATACATGAGAAGCTGCAGAAGTGATGAGCTTCAGAGCGAAAACTGATACACAGAACAGAACCAGATTGACTGAAGGAGCCACAGTCTTAAAAATTAGGCTAACAAAATTTCTAAGCAGGTTATAAATAAAACATGGATGCTCAGAAATTTGCCTTTCTTTCTGGGGTCCCTCAAGAAAATGCCAGGGAGTTTGTGCAGCCACAGAAACTGCTGGACCAGAAAGCAGAACTGAAGGCAGGGAGTTGGCAGGCACACAGCAGGATTTCAAGTTTTCTTTTATTTGGCAAACCTCAAGATTCTCACAATGCTTTGTCACGCGACCACATAAACATGCGTTTGTCTCGCTGCCTCCCCCTTACGCTGTGAAATACAGCTTTTAGAGCACTTTGGTCAAGAGCTGTGGCAGGTGTGTAGCTGAAGGGCTATGGAGTGGTAAATTGTACAGATGTGGGAAAGCAGCTGAGTACTAACAGGCAGGTGGCATTTGTGTGGACACAAGTGGCCTTTTGGCATGTAAGAGTGGGCCTCCATGTCTGTGGCTGGGTACATATACCTACGCACACCTGTCTTCTGAGAGTCTGTCGTAGCCTTGTCTTTTAGCGCCTCGATCTCTTTCTCATGTAAGTACATTTTTACCCAAGAAGGATGCCTGTTTCCCAGGCCATCTTCATCCTTGCTGCTTATTCATTAGCAGAAAGCATGAGCCCGCAGTTTGTGTACCTGCTATAGTTGTAGGGGAGGGCAGTGATACCACTGTTGTTAGGGGTCTCGCAAAGCGTTGGTCCTACCACATGGTGTTGGTGAGGAGGCAAGTGCCTCCACAGGGTGGCTGAGACCCCCACTGCTATCTGACAATGTTGTAAGCGTTCCTGAAGAGCAGGTAAGGTAGGCTAGAAACACAGATTCTCTTTCCACACAAATGCCGTTTAGAGACAGCAAGTAATAAATGTTACACAAAATGTATGCATGCTGCTGAGGCAATCATCTTCAATTTTTAACACGTGGTTGCAAGTAATGATTTATCCTAGGTGTCCTAAGCCAGGAGCATCTAACTTGCTCTGAAAAGCAGACACTTCATGGGAGAAAGAAAAGCAGCATATTGCACAGCAGCTGTTTCATCTTCTTGTGGTCATGTAAGCGAGTAGCCTGACTCTGAAGTCATGCTACTTTTCATCCCAGACTACACCTTTCCCAATGACTTGTTCCCCACATTTCATTACGGGCCACAGAAATTTTGGGTTTCTCCAGTGCTCCCTGTCTTTCTTGTCCACGTGCTCTGAAGATTTCAACGAGCTTTCCTGTAGGTTCCACACAGCTTGAACCGGTGGGTCCTGAAGAAGCAGCAAACAATAAACTTGACAGCACTGCACCATGAACTGTCTTTGACTGGCCGTTCCAGGGTCAATTTCAGTTTGCTGAAAATCAAGTGAGAACAATTTTCAGCTTTGTAATATTATGTTGATGTAATATTACATTGCCTCCCTGCTCTCATTCTGTGCAGCTGCTCCACATGAACTCAGCATGGAAGAACTTAATTTGTCAAAGCTGATGGTACCATTCGAGTGGAACACGCAGGTGTCTCAGAGTCACATTAAAGGTTCTTTTATTTGCTAAGTCCTGGCTTCTGGACTGTTCCAGCATCCAGCAACTGTCAATATTTCCTCACAGAGAGATCTGCAAAGAGCTTGATAAGGCTGACCTTTTAGAAAGGCCCAGGAAGATGCAGAAGGAAGAAGCTGCTCTTTGGAATCTTCGTATGTGTGTGATATATATGACATACTTATATATTTCCCAGAAAAAAAACCACTAGAGTATAGTCTATTTAGATAGCTCTGTGCACACCAGCAGTCTCTGCAAGCTTTCCCCTGTCTCCCCAGGGGTTTGGCTGCTTGTGTTCAGGGTCAGCTCTGATATAGCATGGCCATACAACCTTGGCTTTGATGGCTGCGGAAACAGCTAAGCTGGCAGAAAAAGTTGGTGGTGTGAGAAGGAGTTGTGAGAAGCCTCAGCTCTACCTGCAGACCCTCTACCACTTGGCCTGGGAGCTGATTCAAGCTCAGTGGTGGCCGGTTGCTTGCCTGAGCTGTGATGTTGGGATGCCTGCGCCCAGCCTTCCTCGCCCTCACCCACAGACCGACTTCCTAGCTTGGTCTTGACCTGCCTGGTCACTGTGGGTTTGCCCGGTGATCACTGGTCTGTGGCTGACCCTGATCACCACCACCGGCCCTGCTCTTTGCACCTTGCTGGGATCTGGTGGGACTGTGCTCTTGTTGGTGAGGGCACTACCCTGCCCGTCTTGCCGTTCCCCCTTGTTCCTGGTGTAGCTTTGTATCTCCCTTACAAGGCTACACGTACCTCTCTCCATGCCTGTGAGAATATTTGGGAGTATATGGGCCAGAAGACCCTGACCATGAGTGGAAAACAACCCCAAGCAGAAGGGAGACCTCCCGTTTTTTTTAAATACCAAGCTGCATGGACATGCCAGAAAATGGAACCACCGCCCCTGTTCTTGGGCTGTATCTTTACTCACCATGACAATTTTCTTGAAAATGTCTGAATTGTTCTGGTGATAGGAATATCTCAAGAGACTCCTTATCTGTTCCATCACCCCCTATAAACCAAGCACAGTACAAAGCAGGCTGTTAGCATGTGGTGTAGCCAGCAGTGCAGTCCCTGAGCACTGGCAATTTTCATTTCTCAGGTTGTGTCAATCAGCAATCAAGAAGCTGCCCATTTCAAGCTTTGGAAGCAGGTCCCATAAAAGCAACACAGGGCTGGAAAATGCTTTATGCCCCTATAGATGTGCCTCAGCTAGCTGGACAATTCAGAAATGCAGTGTATGTCTGTGTATCGTGGGACACAGAAAGGTTGCTGGACCTCAGCTGTTCACATCCCCATCCCTCTCAGCTCATAAGTTATCCCCACTGTCATTGCCAATATACTTTGAGCAGTGTCCCTAGCAGAAGCTAAGTTCTAAATGAATGACAGATACAGATGTTTTCCCACTGCCTGGGTCCAGCTACACAGAAACATAAAGTACCTCTTTGCTGTCGGTCATAGTGTCATTCAGAGATGGAATGCCAAGAGCTGCTAATGTGGATTTTATTCTCTGACGTATGTCTTTCTCACAGGCAGCAAACAGCTTCTGCAGTGCAAAGGCAACAGCTGATTACAGCAGCAATCACGTTGGAACGAGAGGTGTAGTGTGGAAAGCATGTGCTGAAACCACATCTGCATTAGATTAAATTGCAGGGCCACTAATTGATTGAAATATGACTTCAGTACCTGGGAAATAAACTGTTTCATCAAGCTGTTTGCATGTTGAAGCCCATCCTTCAGCATCTGTAGGGCCTGATCATCACAACCAATACTAATAAAGGCCTCATCTCAGTCTCATACTTTAAGGTGTACCATTTGGGTATTTTCCTTCAGATCCCCCCAGCATCAGAGCAGTGAGTCAGAGATCAGAATGAGGTCTCCACATCTAAGAGTGGTAAAACACTGGAACAGGTTGCCCAGAGAGGTAGTGGAGGCCCCATCCCTGGAAACATTCAAGGCCAGGTTGGATGGGGCTCTGAGCAATCTGATCTAGTTAGCAGTGTCCCTGCTCACTGCAGGGGGGTTGGACTAGATGACCACTAGTGGTCCCTTCCAACCCTAAACATTCTATGATTCTATGATTCTATGATTCTATGATTCTATGATTCTATGATTCTAATACTTAAAGCATTAACTATAATGCAACTGGACTATGTTTTCCCACTTGTGCTTAACATGGGTGAGATATGAGACTGGGATTTGAATGTGCCCTTCTGAAAGGCAGGAAGAAGCAGGTCACCGTCAGTTTGCTCTCTATGGCATTATGCAGGCCCTGCTGGACTGGAAAATCAGAGACCCAAACTTATTCCCCAACCCTGTCTGATACAGGAATATTAATACTCAAAGCCTGCCATGCTGGCTACACCATATTGACCTGATAAAAGCCAGATTGAGAAAATGGACATGAGCAAACCCGAATTATGCTGCTGCCAGTTTCATACGTCAGAAAGGGGTATGTGGAGGTCCTGAATTTTTCCCAGCCATGTAGCCTGAGCATCTCATAAGTGTGCAGCACAGCAGAAAAACGCGAAGGGTCGTTCATGTTCTCAGAGTTCTTGTGCATGCCCATTGCTTTAGCCAAGAGCTCTTTGTTTCTAGGGCAAGAAGGATATTAAAAAACTTAGATAAGACAAGATGAAACAATGAATAAGCGTAACTATTCTACAGCATGTTATGAATCTATTTCATGAATCACATGATTTCTATGATGCATTTCTCCACTGTACTGTATAGCTGGCTAGCAGCTTACATGTGGGAAATAGTGCTTTCTCAGGTCAGTTTTGCATGATCACAGTGGAATCTGGTCAAAAAGCAGCATTTTGACTGTCATTGTAGGCTGATTTCTTTTATGAACTTGGTCACCTGGGAACATCTCCTTCCCTTTCCAGAACAATCCAAGCCATCTCCCAGAAATCAGTTACAAAGTGATGCTGGCTGGTTGAAAGTCTGGGGAGAAGGTGTCTAGGCTGTCTGGTCAGAAACAAAAGAGTCCCTAAGGACTGGAGGAAGCAAGAAGTATGTGGCTTCTCAGTGTAGAAACACACATTGCATCAGAAATCTGAAAAAATACCTTACTTTGCCTCTAGCTCTTTGTTCTTCTCTTTCAGCTTCATATATTCCTCTTTCTCCTGAAGCTCTTTTTGGGTGACACCTCCAGGAAATGCTCTGAAAAAGATTTCTTCTGTGAGATCTCTTTATTTGTACTTGGACCCTGGGACAACAGCAGACTTGCCCCTACTGAATAGTCTGGATTCCAGCAAAAAAGCCATGAGGTGGGAAAGCCCAGAGCACACAGGAAGAACCCCAGGGGAACTTAATGACCTCTCCCCGAACGCCCCACCTAGGATTTATTGCTGAAATCAAGGAGAAAACTATTTACATCAGAAGAAAGCAAGGTGGGGTTGTGAGGATCAGAGGTTGAAGGCTTGAAGAGAACACAAGTATTCTCCACTTGTTAGAATCTTCTTTTGTCTTTTCTCTAGTTGTTTTCTCCATCTTTAACATCAAAACATTATTAACAAACATCCCAAACCCTCCAGAGAGTTCTGTTCTCCTGGATTCTTTTCTCCACAGATGTCTGGGTAATGTCAGTCTCCTATTCCTCCAGTGGGTGAAATTCTCCCATTTCCATTGGGAGAATTTGTTTCTCTTCAGGTGATGCTACTACAACTTAAAAAGGCCCTCTCCATACAATGACCTTAGGCAGGTTGCAGATTCACACCCTAAAAGTGCTGGAAATTTTTTTGCTTTTTATCATTCACCAGAGGTTTTTAGAGATCATGTCGTCTTCTTCTGTATTACAGATCTCAGAACAAGTACATACTGCCCTAATAAAAAGGAGACCTCTTGTCCCATGTTTCTTTCCCCCTCCTTTCAGAGCAAGCCATACCATTTTATCTTAATATTCTGGTCTTGTGATTTATCCCATCAAGTTCCTGCTCTGTCAGTTAAATTACCTTCATTACTGCACACAGAAATGCTGTGTTCAGAGCTTGTCTAACCTTGGTAGATGGTAGGTGGTAGATGTATTACATGTAGTGGAGGACGATGACTGGCTGTGGGTGAAAGGACAATACTGAGAAGAGGAAATTCAGAAAACCCCAATACTCACTCCTGATAGCTCCTGTGTCCATCCTGGTAAAGAGGATGAGGGTTGCTGGTCTCCTGCATCTTGTAATGATTGAATGCATCACACTGCCTAGAGATGGAAGAAAACAATCTGTGTTAAACAGACAGACCTGGGAACGAACCAAGAATGAGGACCTGAATTTGGGAGGTGTCATCTGGATTTAGACTGGCTTCCTGACAGCTTTCTGTAATTAGGCAAACAAACTCAGGGACACAAGTCACTGGTCATCATTTGAATCTAGGTCCAGTGTCTGGGAACCTTTGCCTTACATCAGCCCAAGTCTCAAACTTAGAGCCACTCTGGAAGAAAGCTCCAAGGTTTCAGAAAGAGTGAGTATTCCTCCACTACCAGGCTATCCGTGACTGCACATCTGCAAACCCTTCATGACTCCACAGGTACTCCAACCATGATCAGAAACTTCAAAATACCACAGCCTGTCTTCATGGAAATCCCAACAGGAAAGCCTCTTCTCCACAAAGCTGTTCAGGAAGGGTATGGAAATCCAGCTATTGTATTTGAAGTTTATTCACTCCTGGCCTTAGACACTGAGAATTATTTATGCTGGCATTTTATCCCCAAGATGCTATTATTTAGGCTATTATTTCTTTCTCTTTCCTCCTGATTAACAACTTCCTTTCTGCTTGCCAGTATCCCAGCCACTATGCCCTGCCTCAGCGGTTGCCTAGCTTACAAGAAGGCAGTTTTCACAACGAAAACCCAGGACTGCCTCTACACACCTACTCACAAGCGTCCTCTGAAATTGTTAAGGCAGCCATTTCCTATTCAGAGAAGTATTTGCACAGAAATGAAAGTTCATCTCACAATGTTTTCATGCCATGTGCCCTGATGTGCACTCCAAGACAAATCTTTTTCAGAGGCAGCTCATTTGACAATGCAGTCAAACAGGAAAATTAAAATTTGGTCTGCCCTGCAGGACAGAGCTGTGATAACCAAGGCTTGAGTCTGCTCCAGTTACAGTCCCAGAAACATTTATGTTTTTTCCCCTCCTTGTATATATTCTTAATATAGAGAATCACATTACCTGTGGCAACTCTCCAGAAATTGTAGTCGAGTGTCAACAGAGCCAAACCAAACATTTTTCTTCCTGTCCGTCAGTTTGTCAGGGGAAGAAAGAAATAATAAAACACATTACAGTCAGTAGGCAAGTATGCATTGAAATCCTAAGAAATGCACGTGCTAAATTTCTTCCCTCCAGTTCCTGATTAGCCCATAGGGGAAAAAAACCCCAAACCTAGATAGCAAAACACCTCAAGGCTGTTCTTTGCCAGGTAGGTGGTTTTCAATTTTATGAGTCAGCACCAATAGTGCAGATAAAATACCCTGAAAGTGTAAGATTTGCATGTTATATGATGCAGATCAAACAGCTCCTGTAAATTGGCTTTCGGTTCCCAGTATAACCCGGACAAAATTTGGCGCTAACTCAGAGTCCTCCTTGTGTCTGGCTTATTCGTAAGCTTCTGTCCTGCCTGTCCTGGCATATGCCAGCTACAGCTGAGTGTCAGGGGCCACGCTAAACACTGTAATTTCTGGGCGCCAGGTTCACCTCATTTCTTCTTCCACCTGCACCACCCTTTCTGCCAGATTATGACATAATGCCTCCAGACTTGAAGTCTTGTCTCCACAGACTGCTGGTTGCCACGGGACGTCAAGTATTGGTCTGAGGAAAAAAAGAAAATGGATTTCTTAAAACAAAGGGGAAAAAAATCACATACTCTAAACAGGTACCTTGTAAAAGACAGCCCCACGAGCAGAGGCTCCATGGCTACATCCACGTGAGCAGATAGATCAGAGCCAGGATACAGGCTCCAGCGCTCATGATGGCTCAGCACACTCCTGGATGCAGTTTTGGCACAAGTGAGCTAGCACTTTCCCAGAGGATGCCTGGCACAGTTCAGAGGATTGCACAGGTCAGGGTTTGCAAAAAATAGAAGGAGGATTTCAGCAATCGTTAGGGCTGGATGAAGTGGGCAGGATACGGGGACAGCTCCTGAAAAACAAACTCAACCCAGATCTGCAGAGTGCGGGGAACAGCAAATGCAGGCGGCTATTCTGCTGAAATCAATGTATGTGTGTGGGGTTTTTTAATAGAGAAGAACAAAGCTATATGTTCTCAAGGTAATTTTAATTTCTGCAACTGCTGTGTGCCCTATTTCCTAATGAGGATCCCTAACATCAACTATTACTGCAGAGACAATCCCAGGTTGAGGGGCTCCTGTCACTCGGATACAGGTGGAGCAGACAGCAAGCTCCTTCCTGCAGCAAGGCAGCATAAGAGAAAGCCTAAGCGAGAGGCTTCACCATCAGTTTATGTTGATCCAAGTCTGCATGGCTGCTGCAAGCAGCACCTCCTTGTTCCTCTCCCGCTGAAATAGAATTTGGATTTGTTTACTTGCATGGATTCTTTTTCAATTAAATCACTTCATCTCCAGTCTTTTGTGGAGGACATGTTTTTTTTTCTGTTTAAGCTCAACAATCCAGTATAAAAATCTGCATTTAAATCAGCCTTTCCCTGCAAAACTGATGAGCTGAGAGACCAAGTGCCCAAAGTCCAGGATCTGTCACACTGTTTATACCGTTCTTCCCAATTTCTCTTCCTCTCACACCCGTTTAAGATCTGCCTCATCTTTTGGAGCTGAACTTGAGCTGAATTTGAGGAAATTAACCATCCCTGTGATGGATAGGAGGTAGAAAACAAAGCTTTTACTGACATATTTCACAGTCAGGAAATGTTTGCAGTCCCTTGTTGCAACCCCCCCAAGGGACTTTGTAGAAATATTCAGACCTACTAAGGTTAAACCTGGAAGGATTAGCCAGACACCCTCCCTGTGCAACATACCTGTTGCTCTCTGCAGTCATTCCTCTAGGATCAGCATCCTTACACAGTCCTTCAACCCGCCTGCTGTAGGAAAAAGGCTCAGGTGTGTCCATGCCTTTCCAGCAACAGAAAATGTTTGCTGAAAATAGTGGCAGCACCGGGGACTGTGCTGCCAGGAGGTCACGAAGCCAACTGCAAGAGTCAGGCACTTGCTTGCTGTCACAAAGGGACTTCCCTGCTACGGCTAACAGGAACAAGCCCTTTTTACAGGATAAGCACTCTTTCTTTGCCCTGTAACTAGTATCATATCTATATCCAGCCAATAGAATTGGTGGGGGAGGCAACTTTACCCTGCAACATCAGCCAGAGCAGTTTCGGTTTTATTGCCATCTCATCTGTTTACTCCTCTGTAGCTCTCAGAGCTGTGAGCCTCTGCACTGCCATTGAGCATGGCCAGCAATTCAGTCTTCATCGTTGCTATAGATTTTGGCACATCCTACAGTGGGTACTGTTTTTCCCTTGCTTCAGGTACAGACCAAATCCGCCAGGTGTACTGGGGAATGGAGCACGGGTTCAAGACCCCGAAGACGCCCACATGCATCTTGTTCAACCAGAAGCGGGAGTTCAGGAAGTTTGGCTATGATGCTGTGATGAAGTACAAGAACCTGCCCTCCAGCGAAGCTGACAACTGGTACTTCTTCCAGAACTTCAAGATGAAGCTGTACAACACAGTAAGTGGAAGGGTTATTGCTAGTGGGAGTCAGAGCTACTCATTTATTTGAGGGGTGGGGTTTAGAGGAGTTGGTGAAGATGGCTGAGTAAATCTGGCTGACGAGGATGAATGAACATAAATCAAAGGGCATTTTGATGAACTGAAGAAGAAATTATTTATTTTCTTAACTAGGCAAAGGCTTCACGGGCCCTTTCTTTGTGATGCTGTTCATCGTCTAAAGACAATGAAACCTGACTGCACGCCTTGGTGAAGCCAAATACTTGTTCTTAATGAAAAGCTGCCCTCAGTCCTCGCCAGGGAACAAGTGAAGCTTCCTGTAATTCAAAGGCGGTGGGCAGCCTCGGGATCATCATGTTATATACCTCCCTCTAGCTGGTCTCTTCCTCCCCTCAAATGGGATGCTGACGCCAATTTAAGGGTGGCTAGCTGTCCTTCAAGCATGCAGTGGCTATCATTTCTCTCCAAAGGCTCTGTGCTAGTTCAGAATTGTTCACAGCTTTTTCTGGATTTGCTCAGTCAGCCAAACATTAGACTATCTTAGGGCCTCCTTGTCTGTGCTCCAGGGTCCCATGAGGTCTCCCAAAGATGGAATAACCCAGGACGCAGACCCAGCCCCAGATAAAGTCTCGTGTCTGCTCTTTGGCATCCCCCAGTGCTAAGCAATGAGTCCTGAACTGGATGTGGGGAGAGGCGATAGGTGGGAGGCCTCTGTGAAGACTTCCCTCCCTGGGAAAGCTGGGAATGATGTGGTCTGCCACAGTGTCACCTGTGGAGTGGTGGGTTCTCACTCACTTTCAGACGGGGCTGGAGAGAGGTTTTAGTTCAACCCCATTTCTCTGCACCCAAGAAGAGAATGTTTAAGGGAAATGTCATTACAGAATCACAGAACGGTTGAGGTTGGAAGGGAGCTCTGGAGGTCTTCTGCTCCAACCTCCCTGCTCAAGCAAGGCCAACTAGACCTGGTTGCCTGGGACTATTGTCCAGCCAGCTTTTGAATATCTCCTAGAATGGAGATTCCACAACCTCTCGGGCAACCATTAGAAGGGCTCAGAGACAAGAAAGGGGAACACCAGTTCCCAGACACCCAAGTAGTTATTTCTGAATCTCCACAGAAAGTGGCCTGGAGGTTGTGTCATAACAGATTCCTTATACCAACCTCTCCTAACTGAGCCAGGAACAGTGACAAGAAATGAGATTGTAAGTAAAAATGAACATAGGTTCTTTTCCTCTTATGCAGCTGCACCTGCAGAATAAGATTCACCTCCCCTTTCCTGGTTGTGTGTTATTTAAGCCAGGCATCACCCAGATCTGCCTGGTTTTTTCCATTGGCTGCAAAGGATCCCAAGTTAATGGAGCTGATTATCTGGTAGATAATCCTTGTAATTTAGGGCCATTTTGATGGCTGCTAAAGCAAAACAAAGGGAAGCACAGTGTGGTGAAGGCTGTCTCCTGAAACTTCTCTGGATACAGGCAACAATTCCCACTCTTTCTAGACAGAGCAGGCAATCAGGGACTGACGGAGGGAGTTTTGGTCTCCTGGGAGAGACTAAAACAGTGTCAGAGCAGCCACCTGCCTCAAGATACACTCAGGGAGATATATAAGCCAAGGAGACACATTATGTGTCAGACCAGAGGGTTATTTGTCTACATGTTTGTCCAGCATATATGTTGTTAATGCCATACACAGAAGTATAGGGGCAACCAGAAAGGTGTGAAGTCTCTATACATACATACACCTGGGAAATGTATGGTGGTGTCACATAGAATGTACAATTCTCCCCACTGGCTGTTCAGGAGGATCTACATGGTCTTTACAAAATTTGGCCCAGGAGAAACAGCTGACCGATCAACCAAATTGGTATTTTTCCTATTGAATCACCGATGTCATGGGTAAGTGGTTTGGTGGCTGATCTGTGTCCATTAAGCTGCAGTTTGCCACAATACTGAAGCCGTTGCTTGGAATTTACCCAGGTTTGGAGACAGGACCTCCTTCTGTGCCATGTGTTGTGCAGTGGTCAGTGAGAAGGGGACAGGTCTCTTGCTGAGACTGCCCCGTGTGACCTTGACACCATTTTTTGTAGAAAGTCACTTCTGGCATGGAGCTGAAAGCCAGCAACGGAAAGATGCTTCCCGCCCTGACGGTCTTTTCTGAAAGCCTGCGCTACCTAAAGGATCATGCCATGAACACCATCCAAGAGGCCTCTTTCCAAACCATCTGTGACCAGGAGGAGGTCACCTGGGTCATTACCGTCCCGGCCATATGGAGTGCTGCTGCCAGGCAGTTCATGCGGCTGGCGGCAAAACAGGTAAAAGCAGGGGTTATCCCACTTGTTCAGATTATCTTTGGAGATTCTTTATCCATCAAGACAGAGGAAGGCCTCAACATTTAAAGAACCTGTACTTCAAATTTCAGTCTATCCGGGAGAGAAATCTCCCACGGTGAGGGCGGTGCGGGAGAGAATGTCCCAGACTGGCAGTAACAACTGCTCTGCCCTTTTCCCCCACTGCCATGTAGAAATGAGCCCCATGGAGCTCAGCAGTGCAAGAACCACCACCCCAACGTGGGCTCCTGGGGTGAGAACAGCCTCCCTAGCAGGTGGCATTCGTCCAGCAGTGATCTTGCCACCTTTCCTTGAACTGACACCCCTCTCTTGTGATTTTAGGCTGGACTCATCTCTGACATGATTTCTGAGAAGCTGATTATTGCCCTGGAGCCGGAGGCTGCGTCTCTCTGGTGCAAACAGCTGCCACAGAAAGGATTTATGGTAGACAGCAGTGACAAGAAGAAGTTTGAAGACTCCCCTGGGATCCAGTATATTGTTGTCGACTGTGGAGGTAAATTTTTCCCTGTTTAGCAGGTACCATCTTTGCTGAGTGCAGGGCATGGCTGTTTTGCAGTGTCCTCAAAGGTCTGCAGTGCAGTCCTAGAGCTTGGGCTCTGCTGCTGTGCTTGTCATGGGGTTTTTATTTTATTTTTATTTCTCACTTAATGAGATCCCACGGGCAGGCAGAAAAATGAGAGGAAAGGACAGGACAGCTAGAGGCCTGATCCATGGCAAACGGATGTCACTGAGGGTCTTACGCCACCATGCACTTCAGGCCAGACAGTTATAGCGAGAGCTCCTGCCGTCACACCAGATCAGCCTGAGTTGTGTCCCAGTGCCAGCCACCAATGCGCACCCACGTGCCGTTGTATAGCCTGAGCTCACAGCCTCCTCTGTAGGACCAAGAGTAGTGCCCGGCGAGCTGACCAAAGAGATTAGCTAGCAGGCCCTGTAGAGTAAGTCATTAAGAATATGTATTGGAGCCCTTCTTAGTAATTTCTCTAGTTGCCTGTGTGAGGTTTTTTTGGTGCAACATGAATTCCCTGCCAGAACAGTCTGGTGACGGTGAATAAATACTGAAAAGGCATCAAGAGGACCCCAATTTTTGGACAGTCTCACCACCACTGGCTCATCTTAACTCAGGGCGTGCATATCAAGAGGCAGGAGTCAACTCTCTATGTAAGGAGGTGAGTCTCCTTTTATGAACAGAAAGGAGATCAGCTTGTGCAGGGAGCAAGTCAGAGCATCCAGCTCTCATCAGCAATTATTGTAGAAACCTTGAGAGACCAGGCTTGTAAACAGAAGTGTGTAAATTGAGGAAATCTAAAGGTGTGCAGGCAACAGCAGAGGAGTGAGGATGAGAAAAGCCGCAGAAACGTGCACTTGTGGACCAGGAGTTCAGAAGGTGAGATTATATTCAGTGGAAAGTAAGTACCTCATGTGCTTTAAAGAAAACAGCTGACTTCATTTGTGTTTGTCTCTCTGTGTGTAGGTGGCACAATAGACATCACAGTACATGAGATCCAAGAAAACCATTGCCTGAAGGAGTTACACAAGGCTTCTGGAGGTGGATGGGGAGGCAACAGAGTGGATGAAAACTTCACTGATTTCCTCAAGGAAATATTTGATGACGGTGTATGGGATGAATATGTAAAGAACCACCCTACCGAATTACAACAAATGATGTACAACTTCAGTCTGCAGAAATGCTCTGCTAGCAAGGAGGCGGTCTGCATACGTTGCTACTACAACTTGACCAAAGTGGCAACATGCAAGAAGGACATGTCCCACTTCTTCGAAAAAGCAAAGGGAGCTGTGTGGTGTGACGGGATGATCATGATTACGTATGAGAAAATGAAGAGCTTTTTTGACTACAGTATCAAAAATATCATTTGTACTTTGAGGGAAATTCTTAAAAAGCCTGAGATGGCCAAGGTCCAGTACATTTTGCTTGTGGGAGGCTTTGCACCTAGCATCATCTTGAGAGATGCAATCAGTCAGGCCTTTAGCCAGAAGTATCATATCCTTTGTCCAATGGACGCCCAAGGGGCCATCGCAAAAGGGGCTGTTTTATTTGGAGTCAATC